TTTCGCCCTGCCCCGATGATGCGCTCCTAGCTCGCGGAGTTACATACCAGAAAAAGAAAAAGAATCTCTCTATTGCTTTGAGAAGAGAATCGTTGGTTTGACCGACAGACTACGTGGGAAATACGAGATCTAGGCAAGCCGCTACATTTTCTCCCCTTGCCCTTGAACGATAGAAGAACTACTTATCTTCTCTTAGATAGCATCGGTTCGCATCTATGGTCAATCAATAGGTCCGCGGATCTATTCTTCTATACGATAAATCGCCATCTCGTAGCATCACCACGACACCGATTCTCGTTATTTTTCCGAGCCCCCCATGCCGTGACTTCGACTTTGAGTATGATGAATGAGTGGAAAGATCTTTCTTTATATAAGTCCCTTTCCGATCCAACCAAAGAATTAGTATATAAAATATATATTTTATATTAAAGGGTGCGAAGCAGCTGCAAGTCTTTTCTGAAAAAAGTCCCAGCTGCCCTATCCGAATCCCGCGAGTGACTAAGCGCGAGACGAGCCATAACATAAGGGGCGAATCCACTCTTCGTAGAATCGACCATAGATATCTTCTTTTTTCGGTATATTTGCATCAGGCCCCTACCTACTAGTAAGAAGGTGTCCCCGAAAGGGGACGAAACCTGTCTAAGATCCTGTGTGCGGCTTAGTAGCGCGTGAACAGAACACGTAGCCTAAGCGGAACTAAATATTCAACTAACCTATGACCCATTTTTAAAATCTACTATCAATAAACCATGTGTTAGGTTCTCGTTTCGGGAGATCTTGGAACATGCCCGTCGTGTGAATGCGCATACAAATAGGGTCACCCTCCGCCCTTTATTCGAATGGGGGTTTCTGCTTCCTTTCAACTTCGACGGGATGGGAACAAGCCAAATAGTAGTAAAGCCGATGGTGTGCCTTGAAATGCATTTTCATTCCTTTTGGGAGCCGGTCTGTGAGATTGAAAGCCCGAAAGAGTTAAGCTATCTGCTGCTCCTTAACTTGTTGGAGGTTAGAGCTCTTTGTTCGAAAGAGAGATCGATTTTTTGAATCTACAGAGACAGATATGTTTTTTGAACTGAGCCTGTTCCCGACGGCTGTTTAGGAGACTTGAATTCCTTTTGTAAGATAGCTCATGAGTGATCAAACCAGTTCCTGATTTCAGGAGTTTAGTAGTAGTCCCTTCATCTGAGTGGATGTAAGACTTCATCTTTGAGTTTCGGTTAGTAAGTAGGATGGTGGAAGGGGGCGAAACCCGCCAGAGGGAAGGCCGGGGTAAGGAAGTCTTGATTCAAGGGCTATGATGGAATTGATTGTTGTAAGAGTTGCCCCGTGGGAAGAGAATTTGTCGATTGTTTAGTTTAAGTTAAGTCAAGCAATCGCCGAGAAGAGTTTAGCAGGGAAAGCAGCTTTTGCTTTTAGGCTACTACTTTCATCGGGATTGGCTTAGTGTTCATTTTACCAAATCTTAGTACAAGGGAGGGAAGGCGACCATGGGGAGCTTTGGCTTTGGTTCGGTTTTCCGAGGGTGAGAAAAGAAAGATAGTATCAACAGACCAAAGGAAGACAACTGAGCAAGATAGATGCCACTAAACTAGCTGCTGCCATAAAGAGTGAAAAGATTTCGGAGTAGTTCAAATATAAGTAAACAGTTCAACTTATCCGGAAGGAAAGACTCTTTTTAAGCTTAAGAGAATGTCCCGGCTTAAGGTAGTGAAGTGAGCCATTAGCTCTGGGTTCCGCATCTAAAATCATTAGCTCTGCTAAGGAATCAAGCATCCAATCCGATAAGAGCATAAAATACGAATCACGTTCGAGACGGGAAAAATAGCGTAGTAGTAAAGGAATAGCCCACTTTCATACCCAAGGGTTGAGACTTTCCTTCTGATCCTAGTTCTTGGCACTGGGAGGAGTCTCTATCACCTATAGGGTAAGGAGCAATAGACAAAAGCTTCGATTCGATCTTATACTTCATCGGCCAGGAGGTGTCCATCCTCTTCCTCTTCAGATTTGCTTAGCCTTCCCCGAGAGGGCTGTGCTGACCTGCTATGAATAGAGTATGGTAAGATGGTGGCTCCTTGAGCGAAAGAAAGCGGTTATGAAACAGAAGACTCTTTGGCAGCGGTCATGTTCTCATTCAATGCCCCGTGGGAAAAGACAGAGACTTTCTCGATTGAAGTTAGCCTGATTCAGGACTGCTTTACCTGCCTTTTCTTTTAATATAACTCATTTCCTTTTTTGAAATATCGTAAGAAGACTTCGAAGGATCCCTTATTCCCCCCATGGTCAGGGTTTGGAGCCGTCGTCGCAACACACCGCCCTTACTTCTTCTCGGCGACTTATAGCTTGCGGATTTCACAGTTCACGCGTCCCGAGAACCAGGTATCGAACTACAGCACCTAAGATCCCACCTCGTGTACTGCATTCAACTAGCCATGCAGGGCTATCGAGGCAGTCACCGCTATGGGAAAAAGAGCCTTTCATAGCGGTCTTACCTCCAGAAATGGCCGCCCTCTTGTTGCCGTTGGCTCTCATACATAATAGGGGAGGGGGTGGACCTCTTTTTGAAGTCAACTCAGCCTTAGCTATTACCAGGGACTCTGCCATCGGCAGATATTCTAGCGCACCCTAAGACAATAGGCCTCGTGAAGATCTTCTGCCACTCCCTTTTTTGGACAGGTAGGTCTTTCCTGAGTCGGCACTCCAACGGTGATCTCTCACTATCACTTATGAAAATTATCCTTATTAATATTAAGGGTGTTGACAAAATCTCTTATGGGACTAAGTCAGCTATATCGGGGCTGACTGAAGGTTTCATATAGGCATGATGCATTGATTGTACAGTACCTCAGATGAGTCCACTTCTTTACAGCCGAATATTGGGGTAGCTGAGAGATATCTATTTTACTCGTCGAGTCGGGTGGGAATAAGAATGTGAGTGAGGGAGAGGAAGAAGAGACTTGGGTGAGTCAGTGGGACTTAGAATGATGCTGATTCCCTCAACAGCTAGAAGAAGGGCATAAGGCATTAGAATGAGTAGTTCTTCGCTCAACAGCTAGAATAAGAGACTGTCTTCAGTCATTGTTCGCACGAATGAATGGTTCTTTCTTCAACAGGTGCAAGAAGGTAGTTTCTTAAGTCGACCAACAGGAGAGGAGGGAGGCTCATTTTGAAGGCTTAATAAATAGGTTAAGTGGGAGGTTGTTAGAAGTAGAGGATGTTGACTTGCTTGACTGGTATGGATGGATGAAAGGCCTAAGCATTATGGTAGAGTAAGGTTGTCCACGCTAGATGCCTTGGCTTCAAGTTGCTTGTTCTCACCGGGATAGAGGCTCACTTCGCTTGTGAATGAGGTTGTTTACTTATCTTACTCGACCCTAGGAACTTGGCCAAAGATGAGGGAGATATAGCTCTTTCTTGTAAGGTAAAGTAAGGTCTTCCGTTTGCTTCCTTGGCTGGCTGTTGGATTAGGCGGGAGAAGAGGTCTTCATAGAAGAAATAAGCTTAGCTCTAGCTCCTCCTTCCTTTGAATCCAGGAATTGATTTCAGTTTCTCGACTAGCAGGATAGGTGAGAGGCTTCTTTGTTTGATAGAATGCAAGAAGTCAGAAAGATAAGAATTCCTTGAGCGAAGCCAGAAAGAAGAGCAGAACAGAAAGAAGAGAAGTGAGTCTACCAATGAGACTTGACTTTCCTCAACAATCTCTAACTTAGCCGGTGGCATCCCATCCCCTTTTTGAATCTGTGAGCTCACAAGCTGCTGCACTCCGCTATTAGCACCATCCTCTCGAAGAACGAGCTTTAGCCTTAACTGCTCTGGTTCGATTGTTCCTGATCCAAAAAATAGAGTAGAAATTTCTTTCCCGGAAGAGTACTTTTCAGATTCAACCTTTCTTCTAGCTCCGATTCTGTGTAACCTATATGACTAATTGAGGACAATCTATCTCATCAAAATGAATTGCACATTGGATTCTCGATGTATTCGTCCCGGTCTAAGGAGAAAAAAGAAAAGTTTCATGTATAGGAAAGCTAGCCCCTCTTACTAATACGACATTATTGTGATGGATGCTCTTTCTCAAGTCTTGATGGAGGGCTTTGCACTTCGCGGTCTCACCTCTCACCTATAAGGTTTCCTTCTTTCAAACCGTTATATGAGAACTTGTATGGAAAAGGATTCCCGTCTTTTACATCTTGTCCGATAAGCCCCGAGAACGTCTGAGTTGACTCTGTGCCAAGTTTTGGTTATCGGTCATCATTTTCCGGCGCACATTCTTCAGTACTTTCTTAGTACTAGCCTCAGACGATCCATTAGCTGGAGCATAGTCAAAGAGTCCATGATCCCGAAATCGGCTGCAAAGGCTTCCATCTCCTGGCTAGTGAACATGGCTATCAGTGGTTCTAGTTTCAGGCAAGCAAAAGCGATCTATGATCCCCTTTTTCATTTTAATAAATCACATCGTTCGTGGTCTTTATCGGTTCAGCCTCTACCCAGAAAGTAATCGGTGGCTACAAGGGAAAAAGGCATGCTGCTGAGTGCACAAGTGGTCTATCTTGCTTCAAATCCCCATAGCCAAGCCCCGAAAAGGACAAGGAGAAATTTATGTATCGAATGAAGGTCTGATGATGGGACGTGCTCTATCGGTCCATGTCTCTAGCATTCTTCACATCCATTAGCATAGTTGATGCAATCGGCGAGAACACGGGGCCAGAACCCTGTCTTCTAATGAGCTATATCATCTTCTGGACTGCTTGGTGAGCACCGCATACTCCGTCGTGGACCTGCCACATTCTCTTCTTTCAGAGGCAGCCTTGCAAGCACTTCTTTCAGAGGCGCCTAGCAAGCACTTCCCCGACGATAGAAGACAGAAGAAAGCAGAAGAAAGTCTTGGATTCTAGGTGTCGAAGGATCGGTCAAAGATTGGCTGTCAAGAACGTAGAGGAGGGGCGTAGCGAAGAAGCGTAGCGGTGGGCTAGTCCCATTGACTTAGTGCTGTAAAAGGACCTACGACGATCCTCTACTTTTTCGCCCACTCTCCGGGATTCTCCCCAACTATCTACCTGTAGGTAGAGGGCTGAAAGTGCTCTGACTGGGCTATTTCCCTATTTATGGGAAGAATGTTATACTGGGATTTCACCCGTAATCATCGACCCCGATAGCTGTGAGAGAGTCATGTCCATGAGAAAAAGAGAAATTCTGGTATTGCATATATAAGAAATGAGAATTCTTACCATGCAAATTGGCCTTTTCAAGAATTGATATTTGAGAACTTGAAATAAAATAGGCTTTGATCGGTCAACGAAATGCTCTGCTTTCAAGCCTGATAGGTCATTCTCTTTCTAGTTAACAGCTGTTCAGGCATCCGAACAGGGGTTTAGTCAACTAAGTCTACCTCATAGCAATTAGAGCACTCTAGTTCCCGTCCTATACTATAGTTCTCGTCCTGCCTTCCCAACAGGACAGACAGGTTTGCTATTCGACTGTCGGAGGTTCGAAATGAATGGGGAGAGAGAAGGTTGAAGTATACGTCACGTTGCAATACGGATAATATAAAGAGTGACGCCTTTCAAGTAAAGATGATCTTTCTCGTTGACGAATCAACCGGGAGGAAGGAATAGACTCGTACCTTCAAGGCGCACCTTTGCTTCAGTGGAAAGAGAATTGGCAATCACTGGGGAACGGAATTGGGGATCACTAGCTTTCAACTCAGCTTTCCGCTCAACCTCAGGCTAAATAACCTGATATTGATGACAGCCGACCCTTCGCAGAAGGAAATCCTCCAGCAATTTATCTGGATTTGCCTCCCCCAGAACCAATAGCCTACGAGCCGGCTTAGACTGTTAGTACGGGTACGAGGGGATAGACCATAAGAAAGGAAATCGACTTTATAGCGTGAGGGGGCGGAAAAAAGTCGTAACGTAATAAGAAGTAGGTTCAAAGAAGCAGGCATGTAACCCGCATCACCTACTCGCTCAGGAAAGTCAGAAGGGAAGGCATATCCGATCAGATCAGTCCTAGTCCTAAGGCGCAATCGGAGCTTACCTTTGGTTCGGGAAGCCCAATCCGCGCCTAGGTTCTTCGTCCTCTCATTTGGAAAGGCAAGCAAGTAAGGAAGGGGGTCTGTGATTAATAGGTAAGCCTGTGCTGCTAGTGTTAAGCTAGTGGTAAGGCAGCAGTAGGCCAGTAATCTTTCTAAGAGTATGCCTTTCCAGGCAAGTATTCTCCCGCTTTCAAAGCGAAGACGTTGACTAGTAGCCGGCTGACTTACTAATACCAGCACCACTAAAAGAAAGAGGGCTTTCTTCTGCCTTTCCTTCCTTTTACACCTTCGATTGGGACTTCTTAGTGGTCCTTGGCCATTCCTCCTTGACCCAGCTGTCCATCATGTCTTGTCTTAGAAGAGAGATGCCATGGCCCATGTTTGAGATTGTTCAGGATCAGTCAAGTCTTGTCTTCTTTTCTTTCAATTATGGTAGAGTGAGATGATAGCGATTCTGAAGAGGAGCCTTAGGCAAAAGGTCTGAGCAAAAACTTGAATAAATGCGAAAGTTGGTCAGAAAAGTCGTGATTGACGAAGCCTGAGACCATTGATCTAGAGCCGCCTGGACCTGATCTCCTTTGTCATAACCTAGAGGCCTTAGCAGAACCAAGCTAATTTGTTCCTTTCTTTGGCTATACAATCGCCTTGTCTCTGGGACTTAGAGTCGACCGTAGGCTTTGTTGAAGTCACCGGGTAAGGGTGTTAGGCTGATTCCAGTGAGTGGATGGCTTGAATGATGCCTTGGAGAGAGGGAAAGACCCAAGTTGCCTTTGGAAAGAGGTTTGCAAGTCCTTACGCTAAGGGAGAGGCTCGACCATAGGTTTGTCTCATTCGTTTAAGTGGGGCTCCCGCTGTTCCAGTCTGTCTTCCTATTTATTCAGGATGGAATGCTAGACCCAAGGGAGTGGATGGACCAGTGGCTTAAGCTTCTGTCTTTGAATAGACTGAGGTCTCGTTGCTTGACTTCCTCTCCCTTATTCAAGTTGGGACACTGGCCCTTACACCTGGTTGCCTTAGTAGGACAGGGAAGACTTCTTTGTTTCGACTTTTGACTCAATTGACATGAATCCAGCTCCTTTGTTAGAATCCGGTGATGCTGCTTTCGCCCAACTCTTTGAATCATTGATGAGTCAAGTCAGTCCCTGATCTCCTCCGGCGGCCTGACTTTGCTTTCAGGTCAATAAACGAATCTAGCTTACTTAAGATTTTGAAAAACTCTTGGCCGTAACCCATCGTCCTTTAGATGTGGAATTCTATTTTCCAGGGCCTCGTCGCTTAAGATTCTAAATAAACTGAATCCGTTAGTTCGGGGGAAAGAGAATCAATCTGTTGGTTAGGCGTCTGCCTTTGTATCTTTGGATCTGTATTCATACGTTGGAGTTGGAACTACAGCCTCCGCCCTCCAGCAAAAATTCTTAAGCTTGATCGGTGTCATAGCCTGGGACCTTGCAGACAACCCACACATCGCCCGTCGCGCGCGGTCGTCGCATGAAGGTTTTTGTTTTTATGTGCTGCTATGCGCTTTCTCGCTTGCCTATCTCTTTGCCTTTCTCTCAGTAAGCCTGCTTCGCTTCTCTAATCGCTAAGCCCTATACAGTTGGAGCGGTGCCCTTCCTTGATCTTCTCTTCTTTCTGTGCGAAAACCATCTTTCTCAGTTTCAGTTGAACAACCAGTTCTGAATCTACTTATGTCTATCCTCACGCGTATAAAAAATTCTCTCCAGAACGTGAGCTTGTATTTAAAAAAATCGATTCGTTCGATCAGAGCCTGTTAGAGATTCACAATCACCGAAAGCCGAGCTATGGTATGGGCCCGCAGGTTATGGATAGTGAGGAAGGTCATGCCAATTGAGGTATGGGCTGTGTGATGACTTTATCTTTTAGGGAAGGCTCTTTACCAAGTGAGTCTGCGTAGCATGCTCCGAACCAGAAGAATCATTTGAAATCCCATTTTCACCCGGATGAAGCTTCCTTCTAACTAGCAAGTGGAGCCCGGATTATGCATTACACTCTGTCCTCCACTGCAGAATCTGCTGTTCCAAAGAAGGATAAAGATTCTTTTTCTAAATCTCTGTATTTCGCCCTATTTACTTTACGGATGTGAGACCTACTTCTTTACAGAGCCTTTCTATCTATCTTATCTAAATGATAAAAAAAAATGGATTATATTATTATGATCTAAGGGATCCAAGACCAAATCTGTATCCCATTCTTCAGGTATATCCCTTACTATGTCCCTTTTCTTTCTTTATGTCAGAGTAAGCTGGTCTTTCTCTCAGATCAAAGCGGTTGGTGACAACGTGAATTTTATTAGGAGGGACAATTGATTTTGGAAGAGATTGAATTAAAAAGAATGCGAACCTCGGTCCTAATCGAGTGGATCCCAAGCCAGCCCATTAACCCATGTTCTGCTAGCCAGCTAAGCTAAAGCTTGCCATCGACCGCTTCGTTTGGAAGTAAGCGCATCTGCCCACCTATCCATCAACCAAGAGAGAAGGGAATGACCAACCAAGCGAGCAGAGCCCAACTACCAATCCTGGAACTGGTGGCAATCTAACGAATCCGGGAAAGGAAGTGACCTCGCCGGAGCCTTCATTCGTCCTCCTCCGAACCCCATCCCTATGACTCAAGATCTGTAGCGCCATCGAGGCGTAGCGAGACAATGAGTTCTGTTCCTCCAACCTTCTCATCCAAGTTCTTCTTCTTCACCAGGCCATAGCACTAAAGATCCCTCGTCTCCTCCTTCCTATCGAGACCCCATCTCCTGCACCTGCTAAGCAAGATCTTTCATCTTCCACTACCAAGCATCTCTATCTCCATTTCTTTGTTCCGATGTCTATCCTGCGGACTTCCCATATCTAGATCCCTGGGATGCAATGAGGCAAATCCAAGTCTTTCTTCCCCTGGGTCCTCGTAGGCGAAAGAAAGAAGAAAATTGGGGCGGCCCAACTGATAGCTAGAAATTCTTCCCCATGACCAGCTAACCCGCTAAGGGACGGAGGTTAGCCCATATCTGGATATCCAAGCGGGTAAGAAGCACCATCTTCTCTCTTTCCATTCCCATCGGGAGTACCAAAACAAGATCTTTCCAGGTCTCCCGAACCAGCTCTGAGGAACCAATCCATTTCGTCCCTAGCCATCAGACTATCCATATCAAGATATGTGGCCATGAAATAGGGATTAAGTGGAACAGAAGGGTGGTAGAGTCGTGGAAACACCTCCTTCTTCCATATTTTGGACACGGAACATACTGCTGAAACATGGAAGAATTTAAATCTTAGATCAAAACACTATGTATGGATGGTATGAACTGCCTAAACAAGAATTCTTGAACAGCGAGCAAGCAGAGCTATTACTCACTACATAAAAAAATTTTTCTTAATGAAAGATGTCAATCCATTGGAAAAATAAAAAATACGTATGTCGGATGAAATGGTGGTTGTTGCTATCTGCTCCAATAACGAATCGTTGGTTTAACTGAATAACTAAATAAAATAGATAGACCCTTCTCTTCGTCTCAGGTCGATGGATCTTCTCAATTGGAAGATCCCCTATATGGATAATATACACATTCCAGTTGACCGGGCCTAATTCTTTTGTTCCGAAGCAAAGATATCCACGGGGCGGTTCGTCCTATTCAGATATTCACGACCAAGAAGTACTGGATTCTCTTTCGGATAGGCCCTGAAAGGAGAAAGAGAAGGAAGGCTGGAATGCCAACAGACGTCTATTATTGAATTCACCCGACCCGATAGTACCCATTTTATTTTGGGAACATCCAGTGCCAAAGTCACTGAATGGGTAAGTCGCCAATCCCTAAAACGGACTATGTACTGTACTTTATCACCTCTATTCTTTATAGAGGTATAAAGCGCATGAGCTTGAGCTGTCTCAAAAATGTTGCAATGATTTCGCTCAGCTACTTCGTTATGTTCGGAAGTATGCGGGCCGATGAAGAATGCGTCGAAAAGGACACAAGACCCTGGAAAGCAAGCAAAGGAGCGAAAGGGTGGGAGGCATGGCGTATACCCTATTCTAAAGACCGCTCTTAGAAAGCTCTTTTTCTAGTTAAAGAAAATAAGTACTGCTTGGTCTCAGTTAACCGGTTGGAGGGTTTTGACCTCGGCAAGCCGGCCTTCATGTGGTCACCATGAGGGATGATTACCGAAGCAATCAGCGGTAGCTAGCCACTCCGTTCTCTTATCAGCTATACGACTGATACAGTTAGACTAAGGTATAGCTGATAGTGACTTGGCCTAATACGAAAAACCCGTGGGACAAGACTTTCCTCTGTTAGTAAAGGGTCCAACGTGCCGGTCATAAGATGGCTTCCGAAGCTCTGACCAAAGAACCCGATTAAAAATGAAGGGATTCGATCTGCGCTGGGATTTTTCCAAAATGGCACTCTAACTAGGCGAGATGTTCAGGAGCCAGAGCCTCTTAGGCTTAGGAGGTCGTCAATGAAGCTCAGCCGAACTTCCTTAAGAGAAAGAGGAAATCACCGCTTGGTTGTTTACCAACGGAAAGCATGGGAAAAAGACCAAAGATATCATACGCTCTCTTCGGAGAGCGGCATACCGAAAAAAAGAAAAGGGTTATCGGATTGGAAGCGATGACTTAAGCCCCTTAGGGCCGAGCGTGAAAGATGAGAAAAAATTACCCCTTCTTTGGCCATGGCCTTCCCTTCCTTTGACCAAGGGGCCCTCGAACCACCCTCGCCTATGAAATGGATAACCCGTCCTGCCATAGCAGCAGGATTTTCAGGGCTTCTGTTATTATCTCATTAGATGGGCCCTTTTCCATTAATATGAAATAGGCGTTGGCGAGAATGTCGATATCGGTCAAATCCGGACTGATCGTCCTTGAAATGACAGTCCTCGCAAGCTCCACCCAGGAGTGCCCCCCTGGAAGTGATTCAATGCCTTGCTGGTCAAAAAATCGAAATTAGAGGATACTCGAAATTTCGTCGATATATCGATCGGCATTCCAGGAGTAGACATTCTCATTTGGAAGATGAATGCCCAGTTCTTCGCCATATTCCCTGACGCGACGGGGAACGGGCCCCTGAGCCTGCTAACTCAACTCTTCTTTCTTAGCAATGATCTGTTATCAATGAATTTCTTCCTTACCGGAATTCGGAGATAGGACTTTTCCGGGTATTTGACTTCAGCTTAGCTGCTTAGCGAATGCCCTTGTGATGAATGAAGTATCCTCCCTTCTACTTCCCCTTGTCGCTTCCATTGGGATTCGTTCACAGCGATAGATCACACCGGCAACAAGAGCCTCTTTATAGTCCTACTCCTCTTCCAAAAAGACTAGCTGCCCTTCTTCCTTCTACGCCGTCCATTATTTGTTTCACTGACTCAGGCATTTTCTCAGGAGCCGAATCTGAGCTGAGAGATGCTAGGCTAGGTCTCGTCTAAGCCCTTGTCCCTCTAGAGAAAAATGTAAAACGGTGCTAAAGCAGGACCCGTGACTATGAAAAATGACTGCTCAATCGAAACTTGAGTCACCTTGGAGTAAGTCAAGCCACATACTCAACAACGTCTCTGTCTGAACTGTGAAATCCCTAAATCGAAACACACTAGAATAACTTCAAACACTGGATCTGCAGATCTACGTGTATTCCAAAAATCTGGTGAGATTTTTTGTGCATTCGGATTTCGGTCACCCGAAAAGAGGTCTAGTCCTGTCTGCTGAACGGTCCCGGAAAGGATGAGAAAAAGCTCTTCCGAATCCAGGTTCAAACTTTCAAGCAGTCAATCAAGCAGCACTGACCATTATTCCATAGATAACATGTAGCTCTTTACACTACTCTGTAGAAAGGCAAGGGGATGGTGAACAGCATTGATTGTTGCCAGCCTTGATGAGATTATTGATACCCTTCTTTCTATTATAGGATACGTAATCGACTTTCATTGCCCAACTAAAAGAAGGTATGGTTGTGCCTGAAGAAGGGCAGTCAGAAGAGGAGAAATCAGCCTGAGTTCAATTAGTCCCAGCGTTATCAGTACAAGTAGCCGGAGGAGTGTACCGAGGGAGGAGAAGCGGGAAGGAGGAGCAGTCCCAGCACGACAAGCACAATAAAGAAGATCCGAGTTCATCTATCGTTTTCTTTTCGCACATAAGATGGAGGCAAACAACTGTTTATTCCCGGAAAGACAACAAACACTTCCTTTTCTACAATATTGGATTCTAGTTTAACCAGCATCTAATTGCATGGATTTCACCTATCTTATGCATCTAGGTAAGCAGCATCCACGGGATTAGCCCCATTTATGGTTGATCACCTTCTGAACCGAAACCCCTACTTTGAAACAGACCTTTTGATGAGGGAGAGCCTGAGATCATAGAGTAGGGAGAGGGAAGGGGGTGTGAAATCATCCACCATTCTTCAATCAATTTACTGAGATACCACCACCCGATTGTCCGCTAGGGATATAGAGACAATCAGTCTTTTCTCCTTCATTTTTGAGGAGGAGGAGTCGGACGAAACACATAAAGGGCGCACTCTAAGCATCTTTCGACGCGACCCTGAAATGATGTCTTCTAACCCTGAGATGAGGGGAATAAGCAAAAGCCACTGTCCAAAGAGGTGATGGAGTTGGGGAAAGGGAAAGACCAGCCACTACCTCTTTTCTACGAGATTGTCCGATATTTCTTTTTTTGAATATAAAATGATTTTGTTCCGTCCCCCACCAAGAGGTTCAGGTGCTGAAAGGGATGCCCGAGTCAGGGATGCCGAAGGAAGGGTATCGTATCGGGGAGAAAAGGAGCCTTTCTTTAGGCCACTCCATTCCCAGCTGATAGCAAAGCCATCAATGTTGAACAAAGCCCAACCTTATGGAGCAAGGAAGAAGGAGGGAAAACGATTACTGCCAAGCGGTCACCTACTAAGACCAAACAGTCCTACCTTAGCGTACCGGACTACTTCAATGCATGAGGTAGGGGGGTCGGGAAGAGATCCAATTCGGCCTGGTTCACCGGCATATGAGATAAAGGAAGGAGTGCCACCAATAGAAGATGGCGGGAAGAGAAGCAATTGACTGACTTGGGGTTGGAGAAGGAATCCGAGTTCCACATATGACTAATCAAAGTATAAGTTCGGGGCATAATCACTAACGAAATGGAGAGATATGTCTTTGAAACAAGCTGCTTTGATTATTGATCACCTTCTCCTTCTATCATCGGGACAGGCGCTAGCCTGATGAACGAAAAGATGCGCCAGCTTTCTCTGATGGACATGAAAGTGGAGAGTGAGAGGGGAGATTCCCCACAAGATGAGAATAGATCTCGGTCAGGACGAGAGCAGTAGCTCATGCGAATCTGAGAGCGGATACACGACTTTGACCTTATTTTGGAGCCTGCAGGGTGTCGAAGTCCTATTAGGAGACAGTCCGGGGGCAGAAAAAGGCCAGGGGCCAATGAACCAAAGCCGGACTCCCTCTTTCTACTCCATGATCTCATGTTCTTCTTTTTCCCCGTCTACTATCCAAATGAAATGTCTTTTGTTTGCTTGCGCATTCCCTTCATCGATTCTTCACCAAAGTTAAGGAAAGATGATTTGGTCTCCGCTGGATCTACTTCCCGGGAGCTCTCTCTTCTTTCTTATTGAAGAAGCTAAGCTGTTCTTCCTCCTGTTCAACTGTGAAAAATATCTTCGAAGGTTCGCAGGAATATGCTCTTTGCCTTTAGCCTGGCACTTGCCATTTCATCAGCTGCTGTTAGCTCTCCAGGGAACTTAGGGATTCACTGATGCTGTTGTTCACGAATCCCTTTCTAGTGGACTTGGCTAGACTAATTGCAGAGGATAAGTCGGCAGAGATTGCAACGTGGAATCCGGAGTGAAGACTTAAGCATTCAGTTCCCTTTCAACCGGTAATGCCGTATGCTAACACCCCCTCACGAGATGGAAAATGGTTGAAAGTAAAAAAAAAGTCAAGCAGGAAAGTCATCAGTCCCTCTTCATTCCATCCAGCCTGGGAAAAAACTGCATTGCTGAGGCGAGACTAGTTTTCCGAGAAGAGGTCGGTTAGGAATCAGTGTGATCAAAAGAGGAATTCAATCTTTCTTCAATTGACCCTCCTCAATGAAAAGCTTTTCGCACCGTCTCAACTACTTCTACTTAACAATTGGCCAAGACTTCTTCTAAAAAATGAATTCCGTCCGGGCCAATCAAAAGACAGCCTTTTTAACTAACTTCCATCTCAGTAATGGGCTGATTGAATCGCATCTTCTGGCCTATTCTTCTTCTTGTTGAAATTCTTGGCCCTTTCCAAAGTAGCTTCATCCCTGGCCGATCAAGCATTGAGAATCTTATCATTAGCCAGGAGGGGCCATTCATTCTTATTCATATATCAAGGGCTGGTAAGGTTGCCATTCATTCTATTAGGGGAAAAAGGGCTAAATTCAGGCTCTTCAAATCGATCTTGAAAAGGCATAGGCATATGAGAGGGTGAGATGGGATTTTGTCGAGAGCATTGGTAATCTTTTAGATTTCGGCTAAACGCTATCTCGCTACCTACGAGATGTGATTACCTTTACTTCGATAGCTCCTTAACCCGCCGAATACAACTATAGTAGCACCGGATACCGATTGGGATTAGCTCCTTCTCGGAATAGAATGGGGCAACAGTAACTATTTTTAAGGGAAAGCTCGTGTCAGGTCAAGCTGTCGTTTTGGTTGAATCGCTATTCTTCGGCCCGACCTATGGTAGTAGAAGTGGAGCCAAGGGTTGTTTGTTGATGTTCCTGCAAGCACGAGCGCCTAACATAAGAGTAGGTGCCCCACCACAGTGCCATTCCTGCCTAATTGAATCTCAATCGCTTTCTCTCATCCCACATCAATAGTGTTGTGCCCCATCGCATCGAGTGGCTTCAAATCAAAATGCATTCCTAATTAAAGAAAAGAGGCCATTGAGAAAGGGTTTGACTCGCCCCGATCCAGATTCTACATAAGACCCGAAAGA